GGGGTCATGACAACTTTAGGGGGCACATATCAGATATCCTATACATCATATATTTACATCATGATTCATAACAGTCACAAAATTACAGTTACGAGGTAACAATAAAAAAAAATTTTATGGTTGGGGGTCACCACAACATGAGAAACTGTATTAAAGGGTCACAGCATTAAGAAGGTTGAGAACCACTGTTCCAAAGCATCTTCTATTTCAGGAAATGTCAACCACTTCTCAAGAGTGTTTTATAGCATATGTTCTCTTCTGGATAGCAAGATAAGATTTTAAATTCAGGTCATTATGTTAAGTGAAATAAGCCAGGCATAGGCATGGTTGCACTCATATGTGGACTCATAAAATGCTGGTTTCATGGAAGATGAAATTAGAAAAGCAGTTTCCAAAGGCTGAGGAGAGGAAGGGGAAAAGAGAGTTTGGGGAAAGGTTATAGAATATGTTAGGACCAAGAAGTTCTGGAATGCTACTGTTTAACAAAGTGACTATAGACAATGTATTGTTATTTTTAATCTAAAAGAAAGGATTTTAGATGTTTAACCAAAGGAAAATAATACATATTTGAGGAGATAAATAGGCTTGGCATATTGTAAACATAATATACTATACATATTGTGAGCATTATACATTGTAAATTTATTTCAACATCTCATTGTACCTTATTAATATGTAAAGTTTTCAGTTCCAGGGAGTGTCCAGTCTTTGACACTGGGAAACAACATTGTTACCTACAAAGTTCATGGTCAAGAACTGTGCAATGCAATTGAGTTACAAAAACAATCATAAAAACTTTATAGTGTGTGAAGTTTAGAATTTTGGTCCTGGCTGCCTCTGCATCTGGACTGTGTATTGGACATGCCTGACTCAATTTGAAATTGGGACCTTGGGAACAGATACTGGTACAATACCCTTGAGCAGTGCATGCCATTGGCTGAAGGTGAAGCTGTTTATGAAGTATTTCCCTCTACAGTGAGGCAAGCTTATGCTACAGCCCACAACTGCCTGAGGAATTTGCTCTGCTAAGCACCTAGTTCCATCTCGTCATGGTTTGGCCTTCCATGTGACTAGAATGAAAAAAGAGCTGCACCAGTTTCTTTGCTGCTGTATGATGAGCATCTTTTCTCCACTTGAGAACTCAGCATAATGCCTTGATCATCCATATTCCCACCAATGTTCTGATCACACGGTCATATATAATTGTCTCTTTCTAAACTCTAAGCAAGACCACTTTAATGTCTATATGCTAACAGCGCCTTTATCGTACCATTAGCTTTTTCTATACTGTATCTCAGAACTCCTGTCCTTAAAAATTTATCCCTGGGTGCCTAGCCTCTAATCACAAACTTCAGAACATCTATCCTCTAAGCGTGAACTTCAATGCCTGGGATCTAAGCATTACCCAGCTGCAGAGCCGTCTTTGTGTTTTCATGGCTATCATGACAATGTTCCATTTCAGCTTACCAAATCTCTTACCCGAGGCTACTAACCACCATAGACTTTGTGACTCTGCAATATTAAACATATTCATTTTCTTATAGTACTATAGACTGGAAGGTCCAGGGTAAAGGCTGTTGTAGGTTTGGTTCCTGGTAACATCTCTGGTTCTGGTTCTGGATTGTAGATGGCTGCCTTCTTGCTACCTGGGAGGGAAGGAGGGAAAGAAGGAGAGAGACAGAGAGAGAGAGAGAGAGACAGACAGACAGACAGAGAGAGAATGAGATGAATTAATTTATTCACTTTACATCCTGATCATAGCCCTTTCCCTCTTCTCCTCTCGGTCCCACTCACCCTCCCTCTTCCCCTATCCTTCCTCCCCTATACCTCAGAAAAGAGGAGCTCTCCCTTACCAACCTATGCCAACTCATCAATTTGCATCAGGACTGGGCACAATCCTTTTCCCCTGTGGCCTGCCACGCAGCCCTGCCAGGGGGAAGTGATAAAAAAAGCAGGCAGCAGAGTTCATATCACAGCCCCTGCTCCACTTACCAGGAGACCCACATGAATCCTGACATGACCATCCACATAGATGACTCCACATCTATGTGAGGGCCCTAGGTACAGTCCATGATTGGTTCTTGGTTGGTGTGTCAGTATCCACAAGCCCCTCTGGACCCTGGTTATTTGGCCCTGTTGGTCTTCTTACGGAGCTCCTGTCACCTCCAGGTCCCTCTATTTTTCCCCAACTTTTCCATCAGACTCCTTAGGCTTTGCCCAATGTTTTGCTGTTAGTCTCAGCAACTGTTTCGATCCATTGCTGGGTGGAGCTTCTCAGAGGACAGCTATGCTAGGATCCAGTCTGCATGCAAAGCAGAGTATCATTGATAATGTCAGGTTGGCTCTCTCTCATGGGGTGGATCTCAGGTTGGGCCAGACATTGTTTGGACATTCCCTCAATCTCTGCTCTCTCACATCTTGTAAGCAGGGTAAATTTTGGGTTGAAGATTTTGAGGGTGTCAGGGAACAGATCTTGTAGGGCTTTGTCACTAATAACAGAATGGCCAATTGAGTAAGTTTTAATGAAAAGAAGTTTATTTTGGCCCACAGTGCTGGAGGTCTAAGGTCAAGGAGCCCACACTGGTGGTGGCCTTTCCCTTCTGCAGTCCTGAGGCTGGTGTAGGCCATCTCCTGGTGACACAGGAAATGCACCTGTATGAAAGGTTGAACCAATCACACATACTAGAGAACTGTTTTACCACTGAGAGGCACCTAGGCCTCTTCTTCTTATAAAACCACCAGGATTTAATCATGGGTGCTCCATCCTGATGACCTCATTTAATTGCAGCTATCTCCCAGAACCCCACCTCTAAATGCCATGATGAGATTATATTTCTAGCCTTTTAATTCTTCCTACAGGATATCAAGCTCTGACAGCAGTTTTAAAAGGTACAAATCATGTTCAAAGTACAGCATCTTAATGTAACTTTATTCTCTATGTTTTGTGTTTAACAGAAGTAGATATGCTTTTTATCACCAATCTATCTGACCAATTGTAGAAAACAAGAATAAAATGGACCAGTCTAGCCTGGCATGGTAACTTATGTAAGCACAGCTCTTGGGCTCTTGATGCAGGAGGATTGCTGTTAGTTAAAAAGCAGATTAGAATACATATTGGAAAATTTTCTCAAAAAAAAATAAATAAAAGGAGGGATTTTCTTCTATTTTAGAAAAATATCAAGAACTATATTTGTAAAATGATTGTGTTTGTAATTTTAAATTGATAAGGTTTAGATATGCTTTTAAAATAAAGAAGCTACATAAAGGCTTCCATGATTTTGTGAAACATACTTAGTAAATTTGACGGTTTAGTTTGCTTTGTCTGCTTCTGTTTTATTCCCTCAAAATTGGGTAAGGCAGTTGGTTAGTTGATAAGCTTGCTGAAGACCTTAGTCGCTGCTTAAATATTCTTCAGTTATTTTTAGTTCTTCTCATGTAAGATACCAGGCAGTCAAGTCCTTCTACTTCACTCCTGCAGAGAGCATGTGTGTCTGTGCCTAGAAAGAAGGTGTTATTTCAAATTAACTCTGCATGGTAAAGTTTTTTGAACATGAAAATAAAGCAAAATTTGAATCTTCAGCTTTCTTGGGTGTGTACTCTTGAAGGAAGGAGGGAAACAAAGTTTCTTGATCACCAACCAAGATCCTATAATCTTACTTTCTAAGGTCCTAGGGAACTTCCCATTCTTCAGCCCTGAATCACTAGAGACAGAACAGACTTTTTATTTCCCATGTCCAGCATCACCTAAGTTACAACTTATAGATGCAATAGATCTGATGGTTTAATTAAAATGATTGGTGTGTGAGTGTTTTTTAATTCTCCTCTTTAGCCTGCCTTGCAGCCTTGGCTAGGTCATCCTTGTCTTGTTTGGTTTAAGTTGGATAGAGAAAAATGGTTCTTCAGGAGGAAAAAAAAAAAAGGTAATTTTAGGGAAAGGTGAAAAATGAAGAAGCAGAGATTCCATAAGGGCTAATACCACCCTATTCTGGTGGTATTTGATGCCTTCACTTTGCAGCTGGTCAATGTATCTGTCAATACCCAAGACCCTTAAGTGTGAGGGGCTGATGTGGGTGGTGTTTGGGTTGAAGCAGGAAGAAAAGGTAAAAGAGTAAGCTTTTCCTTTTCCATCTTGCTTAATCTCTAAGCCGTATCTTTATCATATCCTGATTCCCAAGTGTGCCAGGAACAAGAAGCTAATATGTCTGCCCGATTAACTATTGATAGGTGAAGTTGTTTTTCTGTCAGAGAAATATTTAGCTGAGAAGAGCAAGGCAGGTAGAGAGGCAAGAACTAAGGACAGCTGGAGAATGAGACACGACTCTGACTCAGGTCTGCTCTTTACTCCATTTATCTGTGAGCTTGGTTGGAACAAAGGTGAAAACAAGGCTCCTGATGTCTTGGAGTCTGCGTTTATGCTGTGAGAGGCATTCGTTGTCGACTTTAAGGTCTTATTTGACATTTCCTTCCTTAGGACATTTTTTACCTTAGTCTAGTTCTGTATTATTTGTTCACATTTTTTTTCCTGCCAATTGTTTACATTCTTATACCCTCTGAAGTTTAATCTCACCATTTTTGTATTTTGCTTTATGTAATTCACTAAGGTTGATACTCCTCAGTATTTTTTTGTGCAACATTTAAAAGATGAAGAGCTGAGGGGGTTTAGTTCTCAGCATTACTCCTCTAATTTGTAGTACTGTAGAGCTCAGGACTCATTTTCTCTAGCTGATCCCTCCTAAGCTAAGAACTTAGCCATTCTGTGGGTTAGGGAGACATGGTGCTCCAAGTCCTCGCCCAGCCACCATCTCTCCCACTGGACATTTTTTTTTTTTTTTTTTTTTTTTTTTTTTTTTTTTTTTTTTTTTTTGTAGGTTACAGCTCATGACATATCTAGTAACTAGTTGGACAAAGGCCTGAATGACTTTGAGTGAGGTTCCAGCTGACAAAAAAAGACCTCTTTTGGGCGCGAGCAGTCCCTGCTGTAGCGCAGTTCAGCCGGGCTGCGCACACTCGCAGACCGCAGGCCGTGGGAGACCGTGGAGGTCACGGCGCGGAGGCGGGGCGGGGGCCAGCATGGCAGCCTCCTTGGGGTTCCGAGGAGCAGCCTCCGGCCTCTGGTACTGGAGCAGCCGGCGGCGGCCCGTGGCCCGCCTTGCAGCGGTGTGTTCTAGGTCAATGGCTTCTAAGACTCCAGTTGGATTCATTGGACTGGGAAACATGGGAAATCCAATGGCGAAAAATCTCATGAAACATGGCTATCCACTCATTCTCTATGATGTGTTCCCTGATGCATGAAAAAAGTTTAAAGAGGCTGGTGAACAGGTAGCGTCTTCCCCAGCAGACGTAGCTGAAAAGGCTGACAGGATTATCACAATGCTGCCCACCAGTATGCATTCAGTAGAAGTTTATTCTGAGGCAATTGGGATTCTTAAAAAAGTGAAGAAAGGCTCATTATTAATAGATTCCAGTACTATTGATCCTTCAGTTTCAAAAGAATTGGCAAAAGAAGTTGAGAAAATGGGAGCTGTTTTCATGGATGCCCCTGTTTCTGGTGGTGTAGGAGCTGCTCGGTCTGGAAACCTTACGTTCATGGTGGGAGGAGTCGAAGACAAGTTTGCTGCTGCCCAGGAGCTGCTGAGGTGCATGGGCTCCAATGTGGTGTACTGTGGAGCTGTTGGGAGTGGACAGTCCGCAAAGATCTGCAACAACATGCTTTTGGCTATAAGTATGATTGGAACTGCTGAAGCTATGAATCTTGGAATCAGGTCAGGGCTTGACCCAAAACTGTTGGCTAAAATCCTGAATATGAGCTCAGGGAGGTGTTGGTCCAGTGACACTTACAATCCTGTCCTTGGAGTTATGGATGGAGTCCCCTCATCTAATAACTACCAAGGTGGATTTGGAACAACACTCATGGCTAAGGATATGGGATTGGCTCAGGACACCGCCACCAACACCAAGAGCCCAATTCTTCTAGGAAGCCTGGCTCATCAGGTATACAGGATGATGTGTGCAAAGGGCTATGCAAAAAAAGACTTCTCATCCGTCTTCCAGTATCTGCGGGAGGAGGAGACCTTCTGACTGTGCCCTCTGGACATGGACACTGTTGGGAACCAAACTCTGTCCTGAGCTTCCCACCAGCTCAGTCTAAAGTAATGGGTTTAATCAAAGGTCGTCTGTCTGCTTTTGATTGTCTACATTACAGTAATTCCTGGGAATTTTCACCCATTTTAACATGCTGCTGCTTTCATCTGTTTAGCAAACGCACCCGATGGTTTCCACTAACTAGCTCAGTTGACTTTTTTAAAAGTTTGATCCTTGAGCACCTTCAACAAAATTGAACACTCTGATCAGGATATTTTATTTACTCCACTTTGCAAATAAAACCAAATATTTTGTCAACAAGATGGAACCCATGGTTAAAAAAAAAAAAAAAAAAGAAATAAAACAGTTGTGAAGACAAATTAGAGGGAAATTTGTCCTGTTAACCACATGCTATTATTCCTTCATTCTGGGTTACTGACTTACTGTCCAGGGGTCAACAGCTTGTTGACATCTGTCTTCCTGTTTGATTGTTAGCAGTTTCTTTGTGTGCCCCTCCTGTTACAGCCTCCACACTCAGCCGGCTTGTTCCATATTTTCGCTTCCTGTATATTCTTACTACATGTTTTTGACTCCAGAAGAATGATACCTTTAGACTGTTTCAGAGCCAATGGTGATATTTCCTTTAGATAATTATTACATTATTCTAACTATAGTCATATTATTTTGGATTTAAATAAATTTCTATCCTGACAAAAAAGACCTCTTTTGGTTTGGTTCTAATGAGCTCCAAGCAGTGCCCATCTCTGGACAGAATGAATGGAGGACACCTACGTGGACAGAGGGGCTTGGGACACATGAGTACAAAGGAAGAATCTGAAGCTTTGTGTCAGTTGAGGGAGGAGTTGGGGAATGAGAAAAAGGAAGCTTGAGAGACACAGTGGAGCTAGTAATATCATGGTTACTAGGCAGAGGACTGCTCTCTTTGTCCAGCTATGAGGTATATGCTATAGCTGTTGAGAGAGAAGCCAGCAGGATGTATCCCCTTGTCCTTGGCAGCTCCAAAAGACCTAAAAATTGCAGAATATAATATAACCTTATTAATTCCACAAAGTTATTCTCATTATGTTAAGGATGAGACAGAAGTTCAGAGAAATGACCTGACCTGACTGTGTCTTACAAAACCCCCAAGTAGTTGATTCTAATGAGCAGAAATAAGGAAAAATCATAATTCAGGTAGAATAATGTGGGATTGTTTCTATCATAATTCTTTTTCTAGTTATATTCCAAGGTATCTCTCAGACATTTCTGTCTCTTTCTTTAAATTTATCACCACTTTCTTTTTTCTCATTAATTGATACTACAATATTATTACTTCAACATTTTGAAGATTTGTCTTGATAAATTGAGATTTTTTTATGTTTACACCATTTATAAAAGAAAGTAGCTTGGTATTCAATCAGGGTGACACTTACTGTTGGTTGGGAGTATAAAAAGGTGTAGGGTTCTTTGGGTTCCTATTTTCTAATTCTGTAGCTAAATGCCAGTTCTGACATGTGGCCTTCTTTGCTTCTTTCTGATTTGCTTCCACTCCTCACCATTGACATAGAGTTTGAGTTCATCTCACAGCTTTTGCCTTCATGGTTGATTTAGTACAATGATCTGCTTCTTTGCCAGAGACAAAATTGGAGTTCTGGGGCTTATGCTAAGCTTGATTTCATGCACACTTGTTGTGTGTTGAGTTGTGTAACCTAACTGTATACATTCTCTGTATGATCAGATAGTAGCTGGAGTTCTCTTGGCACAGGAAACTCTAAGGCTTTGGTGATTTGTCTAATCATATAATGTTCTGGTACCATACATCTTCACTTTTGGTTTAACTGTGTGATTCTTTTGACAACGACTACAATCTTGGCATGGACTGTCCAATTCTTTCCTAACATGCCTTGCCATGCCACCAGATGGACTGTCCTTGAGGAAACATGGCCATCCCAGACAGCCATTTCCTGCCTGTCCACCCTTCTACATATGGCAAGTAGGATTTAACTATGTGAGCTTATAGCTGACGCTGTGTGTGGGTGGAGAAAAAAAAAACTTCACACCACATAATTCTTCAATCCTCTGTCTCCTCTTTACATTTCATAATGTCTCATTCATGAGGCAGAACTACAGAATCACAAGCACATAGAAAATGAGCATCCACAGACACAGACTAGACTTAGGATACTGACATACTCCTCTTCACTGAATTTTTCCCAAATATACTTTTGTATATGTTTGTGTGTTTATCTATGGATGTGTATGTGTAGCGTGAATGTGTGTGCAGAGAAAAGGTCAATACCACCTTGCTTTTTAAAACAGTATGTGTGTGTGTGTGTGTGTGTTTGTGTTTGTATAAGTGTATACCTTGTGTGTATATATAGGTGGCCTTAGAGTCCTGTCAGATTTCCCTGCAGCTGGCATTGCAGGCAAAGAATTGTCTGATATGAGTCTTAGGAACTCTAAGGTCCTCTGGAAGGTCAAGAAGAGCTCTTAACCTCTTAAACTCTGTGTCATGTCTCATGCATGGCACCGGCTTTCACATGCATGCTGGGAATCCAAATTCAGAGCCTCACTTTTGTGCAAAAGACATTTACCCATTGAGCCAGCTCTGAAGGCCCTCTAGGGACTTTAAAAAGCTATTTTCAAAAGGGACTATTTGGCTATTATGGAGCAGAAAGGATGTGAATATAAACAAATGTTTGACAAGGCCACTATGAAAAGCATTACTGTGTACAAATTATGAATTTAAATTTAGATGATAATGAGGAAGAAATTTTCCATTCATATCTAGAAGAGGGTCCAAGACATTCAAAGATCCGTCTGAAAAAGACAGAATCCTGGGCTCCTCCCTCTGAGCAGATGACAACACTTAAGGATTTGGGGCGCTTCCTTTTGTGGTGAATAATGGCTCCCAAAGCCTTTAGGATTGTTTGACTCCTGCCTTACCTGGAATAGCATTTCTAAACCACCCATGACAGCAGGTTTTTACAGGCTCCTGTCCTATACTGTCACGTAGGGCCTCACATTTGGAAGGCATCATTCTCTGTTCTGCTGTCACAGTTATGAAATTCCTGTTATTAAATAATGGGTTTTAAACTTTGCTTTCTGCAGTTTGTGACTCCAACCTTATTCCCCAGCTGTTTGCCCCAGAATAACTTGATCCACCAATGCATATTGTATTTCTATTGCATTAGTTCCTGAGGGCTAGCCCTCCTGGAAGCAGCATTCTAGAAACCATCCCATTAATTCTCAGGCAGTTTGTACAACTGGAGAGCTACGATATCAAGTGTTTGTACATCTTTCTTTGGTGAAAGAGTTAAAACAGAAATCTTGGCATTCAAGTGCGTGTGTGTTTGTGGGAAGATGGCTACAAATGCTTTATGTGGAATACATTAGGATTTTTCTTATTGCCAAGGTAAACATTTGGAAATAAGCCGAAATTGTTCAATAGAGAATTCTCACATGTTTTTTTATTTCTAGCTTGGTTTACTTGTTACATCTTTGTTTATTTACATTTACTTTTTTTTTTGCCATAAATTCAACCAAGTATTTCGTCTCTGTTAATTTAAAGACCTGTGAAAAGACAAACAGAATTGTTTTGAAAGAGGACCACCGCCTGGAAAGTCAGAAACAATGATTTCTGTAAGTCTTTAAGAAGGGCCCTTGACAGTCCTGCAGGCAGGCTCAGTGTGTTGGTTTTATTCCAAACTAGACTCTAGAGAGGAAAGAACTCCCTTTTCTAGGTGGCTCCATCGCAGCTGTGAGCCTGGCTCCGGAAGGCACTGGACTAAGGGCAGCATGTGTGTGTGTGTGTGTGTGTGTGTGTGTGTGTGTGTTTGTGTGTGTGTGTTGCTGTGAAAATGAAGATAATTAGTATTAGCTGCTTTAAGACTGCAGTATTACATGTTAATCTGAGCAAGTAACTGTAGAGTTTTTTTTTTAATTTTTTATTAATTACACTTTATTCATTTCGTATCCCCCCATAAGCCCCTCCCTCCTCCCCTCCCGACCCCACCCTGAAGGTGCATGCATGCCACTCTTTCTGCATGCATGTCACTCCCCAAGTCCACTGATAGGGGAGGTTCTCCTCTCCTTTCTGATCTTAGTCTATCAGTTCTCATCAAAAGTGGCTGCATTGTCCTCTACCATGGCCTGGTAAGGCTGCTCCCCCCTCAGGGGGAGGTGATCAACAAGCAGGCCAATCAGATTATGTCAGAGGTAGTCCCTCTTCCCATTACTATGTAACCCACTTGGACACTGAACTGCCATGGGCTACATCTGTGCAGGAGTTCTAGGTTATCTCCACGAATAGTCCTTGGTTGGAGTATGAGTCTCTGGGAAGTTCCCTGTGTTCAAATTATCTTGTTCTGTTTCTCTCCTTGTGGAGTTCCCGTCCCCTCCAGCTCTTACTATTTCCCACTTCTTACATAGAATTCCATTCACTCTGCCCCTCAGTTGGCCATCAGGCTCAGCATCTGCTTTGACAGTCTATACTGCAGAAGCTTTCAGAGGCCCTCTGTGGCAGGTTTCAAGGTTGTTTCCTGTTTTCTTCTGGCTTTCAGAGGCCCTCTGTAGCAGGTTCTGAGGTTGTTTCCTATTTTCTTTTTCTTCTGATGTCCATCCTCTTTGCCTTTCAGGATGGGGATTGAACATTTTAGTTAGGGTCCTCTCTTTTGCTTAGTTTGTTTAGATGTACAGATTTTAGTGGGTTTATTCTATGTTGTATGTTTATAAGAGTGAGTATATACCATGCGTGTCTTTTTTGCTTCTGGGACAACTCACTTAGGATGATCCTTTCCAGGTCCCACCATTTACCTGCAAATTTCATGATTTCCTTATTTTTCATTGCTGAGTAATACTCCATTGTATAGATGTACCACAGTTTCTGCATCCATTCTTCAGTTGAGGGGCATCTGGGTTGTTTCCAGCTTCTGGCTATTACAAATAAAGCTGCCACAAACATGGTTGAGCAAATGTCCTTTTTGTGTACTTGAGCCTCTTTTTGGTATATGCCTAGGAGTGGTATGGCTGGATCTTGAGGAAGCAC